AATACCTCCTACGCCATTACACCTGCAACATCTGCCCCCATTTGCCCCCTATCCACCTGTCATACGCTTTGCAATTCCATAATGCACAAAGACCTCTTTAGCCTTATCTAAATACGGTTCACTTATATGTTTAAATGTAAAACACCAGGTCCACACACCCCTACCTTTCCTAAAGCCCTCCTTGTTCATCTGCTATCCTATTCTCAGTCTTACTTTAATTCTTTCAATAGTAACTCTACCATACACTTTGCCAGGTATAACTCAACAAGACTTATCCCCTTATAATTTTTGCACTCTCTTTGTATCCCTTTGCCTTATACAACGGAACTATGCTTGCTCTCTGCCAATCTCCTAGGTAACCTACCCTCTTCCATACATTTATTATCTATAAATGTATGGATATATACTATATATATATTTTATATATATATAGATTTATATATTTTTTTTTTTTTTTTTCAACAAGTCGGCCGTTTCCCAACGAGGCAGGTGACCCATATATATATATAATTATATATATATATATATATATATATATTATTTTATTATTTATATATTTTATTTTTATTTATATATATATTATATATATTATTATATATAAATATATATTTATATATATATAATATATCAATATATTATTTAATATATATATATATATTATATATATATATATTATATATATATATATATATTTATTTATATATCTATATATATATATATATGCAGATCTGACGGCAGCAGAAAAGCGTTCCAGATGGTATCACCCTTCAAGCCTGGACAGATGGGAGCATGGTGGTGTGGGACTATAAATGTGATCTACCTTGGCTGATACCTCTCTCACATACACCAGGAGGAAGGAAGGAGGGCAGCTGCCAGGCTTTAGGAGTCCCAACAAAAGTCTAGAAAAATATGGAGAACTTGCCATCATTATATGTTTGTTTCCCATTTGGCTCAGAGACCCTTGGCTCTGGGGAAAGTGTGCATCTATTTCCTTAAGGAGCTGGGAAAAAGACTCATCAGCGTATACTAGGGATCCCAGGGCATGCTAGTTTTCTGTATCAGCGGCTCAGTGCGGCTGTTTCAATCGGTAATGCCATTGTGAATTTTGGGCACACACCCCAGCTCTGAGGAGCTCGGATGAGATTTTTCGCTCTTATAAATCGGTGATACACACGTAACAACGTGGTACCGTATATGCCACCTTTAATATCAACATGTACTCTTAAATCTTCTGTGCCATATTATTAATAAAATATTCTATTGGTAAAAAAAATAGTTTTTTAAAAGATGTGGGTGGTGCGTAGGGGTAGTGGTTTATTCAATAGGCTTCAGGAAGAAATCCAAATATTCTTCCTTGAAGCCTTTTTATCCACTCTCGAGGCTATGGGTCCACAATTATACACCAGAGGTGGACCCCATCTATATTATATATATATTATATATATATATAATATATAATATATATATATAGATTTATATTAGATATATATATTATATATATATATATATATATATATCGTAGGTAGTAGGTTGGTGGACAGCAACCGCCCAGGAGTGGGTACTACCAGTCCTGCATGTGTGTGTTGAAACGAAGCCTGTAATTGTTTTACATGATGGTAGGATTGCTGGTGTCATTTTTTCTGTCTCATTAACATGAAGATTCAGGTCGTCTTGCTACTTCTACTTACACTTAGACCACATTGCATTTACATGTAAATGTACATGTACATGTACAGGTCACTTATTTATCTAGGCTGGAATATTGCTTGCACATTAAACAGCACCTTTCAAGGCAGGTGAATTGCGACTAGAAAATGTACAGGAATTTCACGGCGGCAGTAACGGAGATTAAAACATTCAATTACTGGGAGCGCTGAGGTTCTAAACCTGTATTCCCTGGAACGCAGGAGGGAGAGTACATGATTATATACACCTGGAAAACCCTAGGGGGGACTAGTCCCAAACTTGCAACAAAATCACTCACTAAAAAAGCAAAAGTTTGGGCAGCGATGCACCCCCCCCCAAAAAAGCAGGGGGTACTAGCACGAAAGAGACCATCAATAATGTCAGGGGCCAGACTTTCAACTCCCTCCCACCCATAAGGGGTTTTACCAACAGCCCCCTGGCATTTTAAGCTGGCCTGGACAAGCACCTAAAGTAGTTCCTGATCACCCGGGGCTTTTCTGTACGTTGGTTTGCGTGCAGCACAGCAACAGCCTGGTTGATCGGGCTCTGATCCCCCAGGGGGCCTGGTCACAGACTGGCCCCGGGGGGGTTTCCCCGGAACTCTCTCCGGTAAACAAGCATAATATACTACCCCTCTGGGTTTTCTTCATTTTCTTTCATTCTTTTTCTTTTCTTTTCCTATTTCCCTGGGGAAGGGAACAGAATTCTTTCCCCCGAACCCCCGTGTGTCGTAGAGGACTTAAGTGCCGAACAAGGGGGAGTAACCCTTTCTCCGTAATATTACTAAATTTAAAAAAGGGAAAACTTTGTATTTCCTTTTGGGGCCCCCCCACCTCAGGGGATATGGCTGGGGCTTGAAAAAAAAAGAGAAATATTTATATAATATATATATAATATATATAATATATTGCCATAAGATCACAGTAAACGGTATTTTAGAATTGCAAAAACAACCACCTGAAAGATAAGAAATTCCAAACGCTTTCGTGACTACTCCCCCTTACATAGTTCCTTGATATGTGAGTGTCACGAAAGCGCTTGGAATTTTTCTATTCTTTCAGAGTGGTTGTTTTGCTTTTAAATATATAATATATATATATATATATATATAAAATATATATATATATAATATATAATATATATATATTTTATTTAATAATTTTAATTTTCAACAAGTGGCCGTCTCCCCCGAGGCGGGTGACCCAAAAAAGAAAGAAAATCCCCAAAAAAAAAATACTTTCATCACATTCCCAAAACTTTTACCCCACTCCACATTATCACTGTTTTTGCAGAGGTGTCAGAATACAACAGTCTAGAAGCATACACTATAAAGATACACAACATATCCCTCCAAACTGCCAATATCCCAAACCCCTCCTTTAAAGTGCAGGCATTGTACTTCCCATTTCCAGGACTCAAGTCCGACTATATGAAAAAAACCCGGGTTTCCCCCTGAATCCCTTCACTAAATATTACCCTGCTCACACCCAACAGATCGTCAGGTCCCAAGTACCATTCGTCTCCATTTACTCCTATCTAACACGCTCACGCACGCTTGCTGGAATCCAAGCCCCTTGCCCACAAAACCTCCTTTACCCCCCCTCTCCAACCCTTTCGAGGACGACCCCCACCCCGCCTTCCTTCCCCCATAGATTTATATGCTTTCCATGTCATTCTACTTTGATCCATTCTCTCTAAATGACCAAACCACCTCAACAACCCCTCTTTGCCCTCTGACAATACTTTTTTAACTCCACACCTTCTCTAATTTTTCCCCACTCCCAAAATTTTTTGCATAATATTTACACCACACATTGCCCTTAAACAGGACATCTCCACTGCCTCCGACCGTCTCCTCGTGCTGCATTTACCACCCAAGCTTCACACCCATATAAGAGTGTTGGTACTACTATACTTTCATACATTCCCTTCTTTGCCTCCATAGATAAACGTTTTTTGATTTCCACATATACCCCAACGCACCCACTCACCCCTTTTTTCCCTCATCAATTCTTGATTAAACCTCATCCTTCATAAATCCATCCGCCGACACGTCAACTCCCAAGTATCTGAAAACATTCACTTCTTCCATACTCCTCCTCCCCATTTTGATATCCAATTTTTCTTTATCTAAATCATTTAACACCCTCATTTACCTTACTCTTTTTTATGTTCACTTTCAACTTTCTACCTTTACAAAACATTCCCAAACTCATCCACTAACCTTTGCAATTTTTTTTTAGAAACTCCCCTAAGCACAGTATCATCAGTAAAAAAATAACTGTGTCAATTCCCATTTTGAATTTGATTCCCCAAAATTTAATCCCACCCCTTCCCGAACACCCTACATTTACTTCCTTTACAACCCCATCTATAAATAATTAACAACCAGGTGAATTCACATCCCTGTCTAAGACCTACTTTTAAAAGGGAAGTAGTCTCCCCCCCTTCACACACCCTAACCTGAGCCTCACATCCCAAAAAAAACCTTTACACATTTAATAACTTTTCCACCTATTCCATAACTTGCAACTCTGCCACATTTCTCCCTTCCACTCTACAAATATATTTAAAATATATAATATTTTTATAATATAATATATATATATAATTATATATATTATATATATATATATATATATTTATATATTGTTTGTAGACAGCAACCGCCCAGGGAGTATACGTCCTGCCAAAGGGGTGTAAATGAAAGCCTGTAAATTTTTTTTTAGATGGTAGGTTGCATGTCCATTTTCTGTCTCATAAACATGCAAGGTTTCAGGTATGTCTTGCTACTTCTACTTACACTTAGGTCACACAAGACATACATGAACAAGCATATATATACACACCCCTCTGGGTATTCTTCTGTTTTCTTTCTAGTTCTTGTTCTTGTTTATTTCCTCTTATCTCCATGGGGAAGTGGAACAGAATTCTTCCTCTGTAAGCCATGCGTGTCGTAAGAGGCGACTAAAATGCCGGGAGCAAGGGGCTAGTAACCCCTTCTCCTGTATATATTACTAAATTTAAAAGGAGAAACTTCAGTTTTTTCTTTTGGGCCACCCCACCTCAGTGGGATACGGCTGGTACGTTGAAAGAAAGAAGAATATATATATATATCTATATATATATATATATATATATATATATATATATATATATATATATATATATATATATATATATTTTTTTTTTTTCAACAAGTTGGCTGTTATGAATTCCTCATATAATTCATTAGTTGTTAGTTTTTGACAATTTTTAAACAACTGCAATGCAATCAAACACTGGAATCATATCTGACAATCATATGTCACCAGATGTCTCGGGGCTGCAGGAGGGGGAGAAGGTGCGTGACTCCCAGAAGAAGGTGGTTCAAGCGCTGCAAGAGTATACACACACGCACTACCCACACTTGCCGCCTAAGTTCGGAGAACTTCTCCTCCGCATCCCCGAACTTCAACGCACGTGTCAGGTTAGAATATCCACCTTTTCCTGTCTTGGTTCAAGATAGTAAACATGTCCATTTCCACCCATGCCGAGGATCGAACCATGGACTCTCAGTATGTGAGCTGAGTACTCTATCAACCGAGCTATGGGACACTGATAGAGCTTCATGCTACTGGGAAGAAATCATATGTAGAAAGATAATTTTTTTATGTAGCTCCTAGAATGTTCAACAGGTTATGCTCACTTATAGATTCATAATCCTGTGGCTCAGCTTATTCTGTATTGCAGTTAAAGTTGAGATAGTGTTTGAAGTCTTAATGTGCACATTCATCTATGAATTTTTCTTGCTCTTGCAGGCGAGTAAGGAAATGCTCTCTATGAAGAAGAAGGAGGGAGATGTGCCAAGTTTCAATTTCCTCTTTGAGCTACTAAGAGGGGACCATTAGTTAAGGTATGTGAATGATGATGAAAGTGTATCTTCTTTTTTGGGTCACCCTGCCTCATTGGAAAATGGCCGTTGTGTTAACAAAAAATAAAATAATATTCCTGTTTGTTATAACAGTGGCTACTGCTGCCTTACTGTTTGTTTACCACTAAGGTAGTGTGGCTCTAATAGACACACATTCACCATCACTCATTCTATATTTGCCTTGCCAGAATGGCATGGCTATCACAATTTTAATTTTAACCTTATTAATACTGTACCTCATTTTCCATCTGGTGCTTTTGCAAAATCAAACAGTGCAGTTACCTTTCCATTGTGTCAAATTAAGTTCGAATATTTTTGCTTGTGATTTTCAGCATAAATTTTGATGTGTTCAGAACAGTGATGAATAATGTCATTTAAAAAAACATGAGAGAGAGCTCATAAGAGAGTTTAATCGCATCAGTACAGTGGACTCTCGACCAGCGATGGCATCGATTAACGATAAATCTGACTAGCGATACATTTTATCGCAAAAATTTTGCCTCGATTAGCGCTAAAAAACTCGACCAACACTATTCGTTCCGTCTGAGACGCGTCCACTTCTGGCCAGTGTTTACAAGCCAGCCAGCAACCACGGTCGCTTCCAAGCATACAATCGGAACATTTCATATTATCACAGCTTACTAAAGACAACAGACATAGCCCCACTCCACAAAGGGGGCAGTAAAGCAACAGCAAAGAACTACAGACCAATAGCACTAACATCCCATATCATAAAAATCTTTGAAAGGGTCCTAAGAAGCAAGATCACCACCCATCTAGAAACCCATCAGTTACACAACCCAGGGCAACATGGGTTTAGAACAGGTCGCTCCTGTCTGTCTCAACTATTGGATCACTACGACAAGGTCCTAAATGCACTAGAAGACAAAAAGAATGCAGATGTAATATATACAGACTTTGCAAAAGCCTTTGACAAGTGTGACCATGGCGTAATAGCGCACAAAATGCGTGCTAAAGGAATAACAGGAAAAGTCGGTCGATGGATCTATAATTTCCTCACTAACAGAACACAGAGAGTAATCGTCAACAGAGTAAAGTCCGAGGCAGCTACGGTGAAAAGCTCTGTTCCACAAGGCACAGTACTCGCTCCCATCTTGTTCCTCATCCTCATATCCGACATAGACAAGGATGTCAGCCACAGCACTGTGTCTTCCTTTGCAGATGACACCCGAATCTGCATGACAGTGTCTTCCATTGCAGACACTGCAAAGCTCAGGCGGACATCAACCAAATCTTTCAGTGGGCTGCAGAAAACAATATGAAGTTCAACGATGAGAAATTTCAATTACTCAGATATGGTAAACATGAGGAAATTGAATCTTCATCAGAGTACAAAACAAATTCTGGCCACAAAATAGAGCGAAACACCAACGTCAAAGACCTGGGAGTGATCATGTCGGAGGATCTCACCTTCAAGGACCATAACATTGTATCAATCGCATCTGCTAGAAAAATGACAGGATGGATAATGAGAACCTTCAAAACTAGGGAGGCCAAGCCCATGATGACACTCTTTCAGGTCACTTGTTCTATCTAGGCTGGAATATTGCTGCACACTAACAGCACCTTTCAAGGCAGGTGAAATTGCCGACCTAGAAAATGTACAGAGAACTTTCACGGCGCGCATAACGGAGATAAAACACCTCAATTATTGGGAGCGCTTGAGGTTCCTAAACCTGTATTCCCTGGAACGCAGGAGGGAGAGATACATGATTATATACACCTGGAAAATCCTAGAGGGACCAGTACCGAACTTGCACACGAAAATCACTCACTACGAAAGCAAAAGACTTGGCAGACGATGCACCATCCCCCCAATGAAAAGCAGGGGTATCACTAGCACGTTAAGAGACCATACAATAAGTGTCAGGGGCCCGAGACTGTTCAACTGCCTCCCAGCACACATAAGGGGGATTACCAACAGACCCCTGGCAGTCTTCAAGCTGGCACTGGACAAGCACCTAAAGTCAGTTCCTGATCAGCCAGGCTGTGGCTCGTACGTTGGTTTGCATGCAGCCAGCAGCAACAGCCTAGTTGATCAGGCTCTGATCCACCAGGAGGCCTGGTCACAGACCGGGCCGCGGGGGCGTTGACCCCCGGAACTCTCTCCAGGTAAACTCTCTCTCCAGGTAAACAGCCTTTTTAGTGATTGCACCTGCAAAATAAGTCACCATGGGCCCCAAGAAAGCTTCTAGTGCCATCCCTACAGCAAAAAGGGTGAGAATTACTATGGATATGAAGAAAGAGATCATTGCTAAGTATGAAAGTGGAGTGCATGTCTCTGAGCTGGCCAGGCTGTACACAAAACCCCAATCAACCATCGCTACTATTGTGGCCAAGAAAACAGCAATCAAGGAAGCTGTTCTTGCCAAAGGTGCAACTATGTTTTCGAAACTGAGATCGCAAGTGATAGAAGATGTTGAGAGACTGTTATTGGTGTGGATAAACGAGAAACAGATAAGTCACTCTGTCTGACTTTTTTGGGTTATCCTAGGTTTTCTGCACGTATGCTGCTATGTATGATAATTCTATGTAACTGTATTTGTGTATACCTAAATAAACTTACTTACTTACTTAGCAGGAGACAGCATCTCTCAAGCGATCATTTGTGAAAAGGCTAGAAAGTTGCATGACGATTTAATTAAAAAAATGCCAGCAACTAGTGATGTGAGTGAATTTAAGGCCAGCAAAGGTTGGTTTGAGAGATTTAAGAAGCGTAGTGGTATTCATAGTGTGATAAGGCATGGTGAGGCTGCCAGTTTGGACCACAAAGCAGCTGAAAAATATGTGCAGGTCTTCAAGGAGTACATAGACAGTGAAGGACTGAAACCTGAACAAGTGTTTAATTGTGACGAAACAGGCCTGTTTTGGAAGAAAATGCCAAGCAGGACGTACATTACTCAGGAGGAAAAGGCACTCCCAGGACATAAGCCTATGAAAGACAGGCTTACTCTGTTGATGTGTGCCAATGCTAGTGGTGATTGCAAAGTGAAGCCTTTATTGGTGTATCACTCTGAAACTCCCAGAGTGTTCAGGAAAAACAATGTCGTCAAGGCTAATTTGCGTGTGCTGTGGAGGGCAAACAGTAAGGCATGGGTCACTAGGGACTTTTTCTATGACTGGTTACACCATGCATTTGCCCCCAATGTGAAAAATTACCTATTTGAAAAGAAATTAGACCTTAAGTGCCTCCTGGTATTAGACAATGCTCCTGGTCATCCTTCAGACTTGGCAGAGCGACTTTCTAGGGACATAGCTTCATTAAGGTGAAGTTTTTGCCTCCTAATACCACTCCTCTTCTAAACACTAAGAAGATCAATGCTCTCCCCTCCTCCCATCCCATCAATCATCACCAGATCTTCAATAAAGGTAAGTGCCATGTAACTGTGCATGTAATCTTCAGTTTGTGTGTATTAAAATATTTCATGTGGTAAAATTTTTTTTTCAATACTTTTGGGTGTCTTGCACGGATTAATTTGATTTCCATTATTTCTTATGGGGAAAATTAACTTGACTAACGATAATTTTGACTAACGATGAGCACTCAGGAACGGATTAATATCATTGGTTGAGGGTCCACTGTATTTAAAAAGGAAGAAAGTTCTTGCACTGTTGCACTCAGAGATTAAACATTATATGAAGGTAAAAGTACAGTACTATGCCTGCACTCTGAAGAATGGTGAGGTATGTTATGGATAGGAGTTATTTGAATTTATATGTTCACATGCTTCTTCCAGTACAGCAAGTGATAGTGAATATGTTCCTTTTTTGTGTCCCCTACGCTTGTGGGTCATGCTATTTTGGTAGGTTATACACAAATAACCCGTATATAGGAGAAAGAAACTTATGACTACATTTTTGTCCTACTTTGACCATTAACTAGCACACACAGTGTGATTGGTTAATAAGTCAGACTGAAATACCGTCATAAGTTTCTTTCTGTGTTCTTTTTTGCTAGGTTACTTTGTCTTAGTGCACCGCCCTACCTTAGAGGCAAATGGTCAGTGTCTTTAAAACTGTAAATATTGTAACTGCATCTGTGCAGAAGAATGAAGAAACATTAAGATATATTTATATAAAAAATTCTCTGCATTTAGAAGGGATTGTAGAACTATTAAATGCAAATTAGTATAGCTAGAGTAAAGTATCTATAGACAAGTCTGAAAGTTAGTTCCATTAACAATAAAACATTAATGCAATTATTTCTGCCCATCATGAGTATTGTACTTATTATTGGGACTTGTTAACTATTATTCAGAGATGATATTTTAATTTTACTCTGAATGTATAATGTCATCTAGGCAAATTAAATTAATTCTTCATTATCCTTAAAAAAATTTATTTTCTTCTACAGGTTGGAGTGCAACCTCGTCTTCAGCGTAAGTTGCTGCATCTCCCTCAGGTATGCGTTGTCACTTCGGGTTCATAACAGGCCAAGATATGGAATGTTGTCAAAACAAACTACCATGTATTAAGGACCAATCCAATTTGCTGCAACAGCAAAAATAGGATATGCAGTTTTTGACTCAGAAGTGATGATATCCCCATGGCTGTGACAAGTGGACGTCACTTACTCATCCCACCTTGTGTACTCATCCTTCCTTATGCAAATAAGACTCAACTGCAATAGTAAACCATTAATGATGTAAATTTAAATATACACCTCAAGGACAGATTTTTTATATTAAGTAGATATCATAAAAAAAACTTGTTATATAATTCCTAAATACCAAATGTAATACAGTAGAATTTCAAAGTGAAACCACTGGGTAGATTAGAGAAAATATCAAATAATGTGTGACATGAGTTACCTTTTGCTGAGTGAATGCGTCCACCGCCAGTATACCTGATGGGAGAACTCCAAAGGCTGTGGCATGGACTCGAAGCTACACGCTGTCTTCCAGTGGATATACTCTCAGAAGCAGTATTTTTTTAGCATATCTTCCCCCATGCCATGTGTCCAGCATCACCTGTTGCTGCTGTTACCACTGGTGTCTCCTCTCATTACCTGAATGTCCAAAGAATGTGATAGCATCTGGTTTGATTGACTGTGTGCACATTTGTATATTTACTTTTGATATAGCAAGCTGTGCATGTTGTTACTTTGGCTTTTATGGTTTGTCTCTGCTCTCTCACCAGATAGAGCTAGAAGACTTTTTACCATAATTTATCTTTGAAGTTGATAGTTATCATATATTTTTATTTAAAAATAGTGCGACTATATTGTTGTTGTTGTTGTTATTATTTTATAACACATCGGCTATTTCCCACCAAGGCTGAGTGACTATTATTATTATTTCTTTTTTATTTGTTAATGGGTGAGTGTTTTATGGAGGCTATGGTGAGAGGATGCAGCAGTGATTTAATGTGTAGCAACAACGGTGAGGCAGCAGCAGTAGTAGAGGTGCCAGGAGCCTCCAGAGACTAAAACTCTCTAATGCGAATTGATGCATGATGATAAAATTTCTCTGCAAAGTAATTCATTACTTGAAATGGGACATTTGTTATTTACTTTAATCAGTGCTTTAATGGCATATGTCTGCCCGTTGACTGACAGTATTAAGACACCTACTAGTCATTCGACAGTCACATTATACCACTAAAGTTGTAAGTTTCGTAAAGATTGTGCATAAATTCTGCCCTAATGCAGTTTATGAAGGAACCCTGTAATATCACAGTCAGTGGTATTAGAGAGCTCTGGTCTTTGAGTGGCTGCGTGAATCTGTGACAATTCCACTGTGCTGGGGAATTGTGCAACATGATCACAGTGGGAAGGTATTGAGGGGGTGCCAGAGTGGCTGTAGGGTTCTGTGGCTACCTACCACATATTTCTAAACTTGCATTGACTTTCTCATCAGCCACTATTTTTCATATACTGTTCTGTACTTTTGATAACCAGTATACTGTACTCTGAAAATCAGATTTAAATACTCTTACATGTTGGATTTCCAAATCATAGTGATATTATATTTTATATACATGCATGTGTGTGCATATTTATTAAATATATATATATATATATATATATATATATATATATATATATATATATATATATATATATATATATTATATATATATATATATATATATATATATTTAATATTATATATATATATATATTTTTTATTTATTTTATTATCACACCGGCCGATTCCCACCAAGGCAGGGTGGCCCGAAAAAGAAAAACTTTCACCATCATTCACTCCATCACTGTCCCTTTCCAGAAGGGTGCTTTACACTACAGTTTTTAAACTGCAACATTAACACCCCTCCTTCAGAGTGCAGGCACTGTACTTCCCATCTCCAGGACTCAAGTCCGGCCTGCGGTTTCCCTGAATCCCTTCATAAATGTTACTTTGCTCACACTCCAACAGCACGTCAAGTATTAAAAACCATTTGTCTCCATTCACTCCTATCAAACACGCTCACGCATGCCTGCTGGAAGTCCAAGCCCCTCGCACACAAAACCTCCTTTACCCCCTCCCTCCAACCCTTCCTAGGCCGACCCCTACCCGCCTTCCTTCCACTACAGACTGATACACTCTTGAAGTCATTCTGTTTCGCTCCATTCTCTCTACATGTCCGAACCACCTCAACAACCCTTCCTCAGCCCTCTGGACAACAGTTTTGGTAATCCCGCACCTCCTCCTAACTTCCAAACTACGAATTCTCTGCATTATATTCACACCACACATTGCCCTCAGACATGACATCTCCACTGCCTCCAGCCTTCTCCTCGCTGCAACATTCATCACCCACGCTTCACACCCATATAAGAGCGTTGGTAAAACTATACTCTCATACATTCCCCTCTTTGCCTCCAAGGACAAAGTTCTTTGTTTCCACAGACTCCTAAGTGCACCACTCACTCTTTTTCCCTCATCAATTCTATGATTCACCTCATCTTTCATAGACCCATCCGCTGACACGTCCACTCCCAAATATCTGAATACGTTCACCTCCTCCATACTCTCTCCCTCCAATCTGATATTCAATCTTTCATCACCTAATCTTTTTGTTATCCTCATAACCTTACTCTTTCCTGTATTCACTTTAATTTTCTTCTTTTGCACCCCCTACCAAATTCATCCACCAATCTCTGCAACTTCTCTTCAGAATCTCCCAAGAGCACAGTGTCATCAGCAAAGAGCAGCTGTGACAACTCCCACTTTGTGTGTGATTCTTTATCTTTTAACTCCACGCCTCTTGCCAAAACCCTCGCATTTACTTCTCTTACAACCCCATCTATAAATATATTTAAAAAACCACGGTGACATCACACATCCTTGTCTAAGGCCTACTTTTACTGGGAAAAAATTTCCCTCTTTCCTACATACTCTAACTTGAGCCTCACTATCCTCGTAAAAACTCTTCACTGCTTTCAGTAACCTACCTCCTACACCATACACTTGCAACATCTGCCACATTGCCCCCTATCCACCCTGTCATAACGCCTTTTCCAAATCCATAAATGCCACAAAGACCTCTTTAGCCTTATCTAAATACTGTTCACTTATATGTTTCACTGTAAACACCTGGTCCACACACCCCTACCTTTCCTAAAGCCTCCTTGTTCATCTGCTATCCTATTCTCCGTCTTACTCTTAATTCTTTCAATTATAACTCTACCATACACTTTACAGGTACACTCAACAGACTTATCCCCCTATAATTTTGCACTCTCTTTTATCCCCTTTGCCTTTATACAAAGGAACTATGCATGCTCTCTGCCAATCCCTAGGTACCTTACCCTCTTCCATACATTTATTAAATAATTGCACCAAAACCCCTCCAAAACTATATCCCCACCGCTTTTAATTTTTTCTATTTTTTCCCCCATAAATCCCGGCTGCCTTACCCCCTTTCATTTTCCTACGCCCACGAATTTCCCCCCCACCAAAAACTGGCTCTTCCTCACTCCTAAAAGATTTTTTCCTCCTTCCCCATACACAAATCACAGTTTCCCATCTTCTCAACATTTAACAATTCCTCAAAATACCTTCCATCCCCCAATCCCTCAACCCCATTTAATAACTCTCCTCCCTATTTTTAACTGAAAAACCCTTTTGTTCTTAGGTTCTTAACTTTTAACTCACTCCAAAACTTTTTCTTATTTTCAAAAAATTTTTTGATAACATCTCACCCCTCTCCATTTGCTCTCTTTTTACTTTGCTTCCCACCTCTTAACTTCTCTCTTTTTCCCCATATCTCTTCCCTCCTTGCATCACTTCTATTTTTGTAAAACTTCTCATATGCTAATTTTTTCCCTTCTACTCCTTTACATCATCATTCCCCCAACGCTCCTCTTCCCTCCTGCACCCACTTTCCGTAACCACAAACTTCTGCTAAAACACCTAAACTACATTTTTTAAACCCTCCCCCATACCTTTCGACCCCATTGCCTTCTCTCATTAGCCCATCTACCTCCAATACTTTTTTATCTTACCCTAACTGCCTCCTCTTTTTATTTTTTAAAAACCCTTCCCCTTTTCCTCCCCCTGAGTTTCTATTCTCCTTGTATCCCATCTCCCTTTACTTATAAGTACAACTGAAAGGGATCGATATATCTGTGGCCCCTCTATAAAACATGTACCCCAAAGTCTACTCAACAGTCTTTTATCTACCATACATAATCCAACAAATACTGTCATTTCGCCCTACATCATATGTGTATACTTATTTATCCTTTTTTTCTTAAAAATGATTCCCTATAACAAAAACCCCTTTTATAAAAAGTTCAAAAAAGGGCTCCCTTTCATTTACACCTGGCCCCCCCCAAATTACAAACCACCCCTCTCAAAAAAGTTTCCCCTATTTAGCATTCAAGTCCCCTACCACAATTACTCTCCATTTGGGTTAAAGGCCCCTATACTTTCATTTAAACTCTCCCAAATCTCCTCTTTTCCTCTGCTTCCTCTCTTCTCCGGGTGCATACACGTTTTATGCCCCATTTCTGCATAAAACCTTTACTTAACCCACATAATTTTTTGAATTTACCATTCATATTCTCTTTTCCTTCCATAACTATATTTTAACATTACTGCTACCCCTTCCTTTGTCTAACTCTCTCAGATACCCCGATTTAATCCCATTTTTTTCCCCCCCCACTGAAACTCCTTTTAATATAATATAAAAATATATATATATATATAAATAATATATATTTTATAATAATATATATAAATATATATATATTATAGTAGTATATTATATAATATATTATATATAATAAAAATTATATATATATAATTATATAATTTTATAATAAATATAATGTGGTTTGGTGATTTGTATATGTATAATATTTGTGTGTGTGTCATGCCAAAAGGTAAAATTGCTAAATTAGCAAGAATTTAATTAAAAATTAAACCCTTTTCAAAAATTTTCTCTTATACATTTAAAGAAACATGTATTTTTTTTTTCATTTTTTTAATGAAAAATTAAAACTTTGTCCCAAAAAGAACCTTAGAAACCTTACCAAACCCTTATTATAAAAAGCACAATTTAATTTGCCTAACCAACTAAAATATATTTTAGAAAAGTTTCAATAATTTAATAAAAAACAAAAACAAAGAAAATATATTTTTTTCGTTAGGCTGAGAAAGATTTTTGTGAAAATTATTGATAAACAAATTATTGCTTCCTTTTTGAGGGAAAACATTGCTATTTGGCCAAAACCAAATTTTATCATTTGGATGACACACACACACACACAACACACACACACACACACACAACAACACACACACCCCCACACACAACACACACACACAACACACACAACAACACACACACACACACACACAACACACACACATACACATACTACACACAAAAATATATGTATATATATCAAAACAACCACTCGAAAGAATAGAGAAATTCCAAGCGCTTTCGTACTACTCCTTTTCAAGAACTAGATAGTTCCTTGATAATGTGAGTATTCCCGAAAACGTGGAATTTCTCTATTCTTCAAGTGGTTGTTTTGCAATTTTAAAATCACGTTTACTTTTGATCTTATTGCATATATTTTTATAAAAATTATAATTATAATATATATATATATAAATAATTTATATATATAAATATATATAAATATATAAAATTTTTAAATATTAAAAATATATTATATATATAATTTTTTATATATATATATATATATTAAATATTTTTTTTTATTATCACACCCGCCGATTCCCCCCCAAGGCAGGGGGGCCCGAAAAAAAAAAAACTTTCCCCTCATTCACCCATCACTGCTTGCCAGAAGGGTGCTTTACCTCAGTTTTTTTAAAATGCAACATTAAAAACCCCTCCTTCAAGTGCAGGGGACTGTACTTTTTATGAATTTAAATAATAAAGAACCCCGCAGCAGTGGGGCCCCAACATGACATCATAACCCCCCCCCAAACCCCAAAACACAGTACCGTCAACCAGCAACAAAAAAGTGTAACATTGTGGTTACCCTAGGGGTTTTTCATTAAATTTATTTTCCCTTTATTTTTTGTTTTTTTTTATACACTTTTTTTTTAAAATATTCATTTCCCAAATCACATTAATTCTTTAGCAGAACATTTTATGTTAAATTTACCTCAGTATTGTGTAAATAAAAAAAAGTATTTTTATATTAAAAAAGGTTCTATTTCATCTTGGTAGACAACTCTATGGTTCCCTTTTTCAAACATGATGAGCTACAAAACTTAATAACTTCTTGATTTAAAATTGCACAAGCTCAGAGGACTATACTGTCCTTGTAGATTAGTACTGTTGATGAAAAAAAAAAAGAAAATGAGAGAAGAGTGAAGTGCAAGATTTTATACTTGAATTTTTTTTTCTGTAATGAGTGTACAATATACTGTGACCAACATCTGTAACATTATGTAAGTATAGCCTGCTGCAGCGGTCCATGTCTGATACACTATTTTGTGCATTGTTTTGCATGGGACTCCTCAGACTTGTGTTGACTCAGCAACTGGTGTATGAGGTTGGGGCCACTCTGACTGCCTGTAATTTAC